CACTTGGCCTGGCAGTGCCAGGGACTCCTCATCTAGGACACTGATGTTATCATCCTAATTGGCACCCTCACAATAAGTGTATTTACAAAGTAACTATCTGCAAAGTTTCCATGCAAATGTGGGATAGTATTGTTCATATTATTTATTAGAAGAACTCGGCCATCAGGAGAAAGAAATAAGACAATAAACACAGCTAATAGAAAGACTGTGGTTTTGTTGTTGCTGTTGTTTTTTGTTTGTTTTTGTGAGACAGGATCTCCCTTTGTAATTCAGGCTGGCCTTGAACTCACTATGTAGCCCAAACTGGCCTTGAACTCAGGGTGCTTTTCCTGCCTCAGCCAGCTGAGTACTGGGATTACAGGGCTGCACCACCACACCCAGCTTGTTTTTTTTTTAAGTGCCTCAGATACAGGCTAAAATCACTGTCCAGGAAACCAAAGAGAGGGAAGAGAGAGAGAAGAAAAGAGGGAGAGAGAGAGGGACAGGGAGAAGGAGAGAGAGAGAGGGAAAGAGGACAGGGAGAGATGGAGAGAGAGAAGATTGGTGAAGATGGTTGATTACCTCAGAAATTTGAATGATTTACTAAGAACAGTATTTGGAGAGTTTTAGTACATTGAATTGTGTTCTCTAAAATAATTATTAACAATAATAGTATATGTTAAAGTCCTAACCTGCATAATCTCAGAATGTGAACTGATTTGAGAATAAGGCAACTGCAGGTGGAACTAGTTGACACAAGGTCATTAGAAAGGGTAAGCCCCTGTTCCAATGTGATTGTGCCCTTGTAAGAATACCACCATGTGAAGACGATACGCAGGGAAGAGGTCCTGGCGCTCTGAAGGCAGGGACTGGAGTGACGTCCCTGCACACCGAGGAACTGCAAGGACTTCCGGCAAACCTCCAGCAGCTAGAAAGAGACTAGGAAGGACCTTGCTTGGGGCTTGAGAGTGCTGGGCCCTGCTGACACCTTCATTTCCAATGTCTGGCCTCCAGCACCGTGAGGTGATAAATCTCTGCTGTTTCAAGCCACCCAGTTTGTATGAAATGTTTACAGAAGACCTGGGAAAGAATGCAAAGACAGCCAAGACTTCAAACCAGATCAGGAGAAGAACCCACATTGCTTGGCTTGGTGGCTGACCACAAGAGCAATCCCCAGGGAGTAACGGGAGGCTGCATCGTAACCGTGCGCACTTTCACAGGTGGTGCGGAAGGCTGGAGTCCCTACTGCCATAGCTCGCTATTCTCAAGTACTGTGCTCATAACCAGCCCTCAGGGACAAAGCTGCCAGGGAGCTTGCAGCAATCCTAGTTGGGGAGATTGAAGAATTTAGGATGTGATGACTTTATTGAGCTGCTGAATCGACAAACTCCAGGGACACCTACCCCTCTGCTCTTACAGACGAGAAACAATTTCTTGTTCAAATTGTTTTGCATGCACTCATATGCTAAATGCATGGTTCCCATGCTGAAGTGTTTCTCTCCCTCTCCTCTTCCCTATAGGCATAGTGTGCTATGTATACATTTAGTTTATACAAAATTGTACTGATCTTAACTTTAGCTTCACACTTTCACTCTGCCTGACAATTTATTGCCCCAGAAGTCTTGTCTCCAAGTACTAGCACCTAAAGGGTGCCCTGTGGAATCCTTATCCTCCACTGCTAGATTGATATGGCTCTACCAGTATGTTCCAACTTTGGTGTGCTCAAGTGAAGCCTCGAACAGAAATGCCTGGGGAATGCTGACGATATGGTAGTGGATTTATGCTGCAGCTTCCAGCTGCCCCAGTGAACTATGTATCTTGACTGCTCATGAACATGTGATTGTGCAATGGTCACCTTCCATTAGCCACCTGCTTGGTAGTACAGCCCATTTGAATTAAAGATTGTAGCTAGCTACTCAAGCTTGTGAAATAAAAATGAAAAAGAGAATGTGGTTCAATTTCTCAAAACTAAAATAGGATCAAGGATCTCTGCTTTGCATTTTAACAATAAAAGGACAGGTTATCCACAATGGTTTATTCCACCAGCATTGGTATTGCATGCCTTGTTGCCGCATTTACTCTGGATCCACTTATTCCAGCAAACAGAAGGGAAGGCATATTATGAACAATGCACTGTGTAGCCCATCATAGGAGGACAGTGTTAATTTGAACCATTATTGATTAGACTTCTAGGGATTACACTTAACTCAAGGCATTGGTTACAGTAGAGAGTAAAAGTGTAAGGGCTGGAGATAACTTAGTGGCATAAGTGACTGCCTGGCAAGCTCAAGGACCTGAGTTCAATCCCCAGCACTGAAGAAAAAAAAAAAAAGTGATTCCTAAAACACTGAGAGTAACAGTATTTGTTGAATTGATCTGAAAAACGGAAGCTTGTTCCTGTGAGCATCCCTAAGAAGGGTAAAGAGAAAAACAAACTTTTTTGGAAAAAATGTGGAGGTGGTACAGCCCAACAGATCCTGGAGCACAGTGGCCAAGAGCATGAATTCTGAGGATGCTGACCACAGCAGTGAGACACCTGCCCCAGAACAGAGCTGTCCCGGGCCCCACGCTGTGAACTCCTGCTCCTCAGTGCACCTGCAGCAGCAGGCAGAATGTGGCCCTGCCTTTCCCTGCTGCAAGGGGAACTGCTTCCAAGCAGTCTGGGTGACAGAAGCTCACCACGAGGATGGAAAGATAGCTCAGTAGAATAAGCGCCTGCCTGGCAAGCACAAGGGCCTGAGTTCAAGCCCTGGTTCTGGGAAAAAAAAAAAAAAAAAAAAAAAGAATTATAGCTCACCACGGAGCACCAAACTGCCCCCTTTAGAAATACTCCACATGCTTTGGGCAACCCACCTAAAATTTAGAAAGTCAGAAATACCTCCTAGTAAATACACAAAGCCCAGGGCAGTCTTCTTTTTTTATTGCATCTTGTTCTGAGAACACGTTTGCTGTGGGTTGGGACAAGAACACCATCTTTCAGTTATGTCGCCCAACAAAGAGTTAAGTGACCCCATTTGAGTGATATTATTTTCCTTTCAGAACATAACAGTCAAAACCTACAGAGAAATTTGCTAACGCCATCAGCTGTGGGCCTCTCTTCAAAATGCCTTCCAAATCCATCTTATCCTTCTGGCTTCTTCACTAATACATTTATGTACACAACAGCTATTCTTTGAGCACCTTCCCATATCAAGCACTGCACTGAGAGCTAGGCAGGCCAAGTCCCCACCAGAGCTTCCTGCCAGCCAACTCATAGTGACTGGTGACAGCAAGCTAATGCACCGTGTGAGGCTGCAGTGGAAACTTAGGGACAGGGAGCCTTGCCTTTGGCTGGGATTCAGGAAGACCTCCAAGGAGAGCTGGCATCTGAAGAGAAGGAGGAATTTTCCAGAGCTCTGAGGGCTATTCCACATAATGTAATAGTACACCAAGGATTAAAGGAATGACATGTCAGAGGGTTGAGAGATTATGTGTTTGTCACTACTCTTGAGACATTAGGAACAGTAAGTTGGGGAAAAGTGAGCCTTGGATAGGTTGATGGGGGTAGAACGTGAGGGAAGAATTTCGTTCACCATCCAAAGGAGTTTCAACTCCATCTGACAGTGTTTCTCAAAGTGGAGTTCATAAGAGCCCTACGAAAGCTTTTTATTTATTTGTTTTTGTTTCAGAGACCATTGCATTGCTACTAACAATAATAATGAGAGGAGTAAAAACATATCCATTTGAATGGCCATTTACCATATAGTTTCAGTGTGCATCTTATTGTATAATGAAGCTGGCACTCTGCCTGCAGAGAGCAACAGCTGGAGGTCAGCAGAGATCCCCTGGCTGAAACACAGCCAAGTACTCGGAGGACAGGTCCCCACATGCCTCCTGCTAGTGGGCATGTCAGACTCACAACAGTCACACCACATGCTCCCAAGCCAGATCACGTTGCAAGGGACAATTGAGACTCAGAGAACAACATCATTTGTCTCATTTAACTAAAGCTGCTTCCTTGAATGTTACTGGCTTTGTAGCTTCTGCCTGATATATTTTCCCTTTAGACTTACAGTTCTATAAACATGTGAAAAGAAATTTTAAGGTAGTTTCATTTTTTAATGCCATCTCAAGACATATTTAAATAAACACTACAATCCTGGGGATTTTTCTTTTCTTTTAAAATGGGTTTGTAGGGGCCAGGGAGATAGCTCAGTAGAATAAGTGCTTGCCTGGCAAGCACAAGGGCCTGAGTTCAATCCCTGGTTCTGAAAAAAAAAAAAGGTAAAATGGGTTTGTCTATTTCCCAAGTACAAGGAAAAAAACTATAGGCGAGGAGGGACCTTTGAAGAAAATGTAGCAGATACTGGCGTGAAGCAGTGATGGTGCGGAGATCAGTCTCAGAGCAGACTGCTCACGTGGACAGACCAGAGGTGGAAAGTCCTCTGGGAGGTCTGCCCACATCTGCCTGTGGAACCAAATGTTGACCCGAGAAACAAAATGCACTGCTTGCAGGGCATGACTTCTCTAGCCAAGAAGCTCCCTAAACATCCATAGGTGCCATTTCCCAGTGTTCAGTGATGAGGCCAGAAGTAAATTCAAACCAGTGCAAAATGAAGTGCTATGTACACCGTAACAAGAAAACAACCAGGGCTGCCCTATTCCAGCTACTGCTAAATAAGGATCATTCCTAAGCCAGATATCATCATGGCTGTATTTTTCCAGAGAAAGTGACATTGTCAAATTTGTACAAAACCTGGATGGCCTTGTCAAGCATGATCCTTGGCGGGGTTGCATCTTCCAGAGGGACATTTTTTTCTAAGTGCATGAAGGTACTGATGCACGGGCTAGCTAGGACTTCATCTTGTTTTTCTGAAATTAAGTTTTACCAGGATCTCACCAAACTAGAACTCTTACAGTTTAATAAGAACAAAGGATTTTCACCTTGACAGTTGTGGAGAGCATATGACTTACCCATAAAAGGCCACAGTGCTAAGGTACTCAACAAGTACAAAGAGTTAGACACTGCATTCCCTGCTTACCTCGGGGGCCATCCAGAATGGGGTACCAACTGATGTGTTCCTCCGCAGGCGTGTGCTGGTGAGCTGAGCTGAGACTCCTGGAAAAAAAGGGCATTGGAATTCAGCAACTGGCAGAAGGCAGTGATAGATTAGATTTGACATGCTTCCCATAAAGGGCCACATAATAAATATTTAAGGCTCCGTACAGTCTCTCTCATAGCTCTGCTACTGTGAACTAAAGCTGCCATAGAAAACACATAGAGTAAGGCTGCACTCCAATAAAACTCTACTCAAGAATGCTGAAATTTGAATTTCATATAATGGTCGCATCTCAACATATTCTTCTGTGGTTTTTCAATCATTTGCCAATGAATATTCCTATCCATATCACTGTAAATTTGGAACCAAGAGAAAAATCTCAAAACTCTGATCAATCTAAAAAATAAAAAAAAGACCTTCCTATTATATTTCCCAATTATTTCAGGTGACTTCTTTTTTTAATAAGGGACTTCACTTTTTGGAGGATGAAGATTGGCATGCATTATCTGCAATGGAGCATCAGTGTAGACATAAAAAGATTTTGGTGCCTTATCTTGCCTAGAAGCCTGGAAACTTGGCAAGAAAGCTGTTTTGTCAAATGGAAAAAGAAACTGACAGTAACACTATTATCTAAAGCTCGATGTTGATGATTTGACTCTTAATATAATTCCAGTGTCCTCTAACTAGCTGCTTCTCTATCATTTGAGGGAATACAGTAGAAGTAAAGGTGCCCTGGATTAGGGTCAGAGACTATTTCCCATGCTGATTATGCCTTTTGCTAATGAGTGCAGCCCTTCCCCTTTGAGCCCCAGTTTTCTTGTCTTCAGCTAGGGATGATGACAACTGTCATACCTAACAGGGACGGCTCTTCTTGAGACCAAGCAAGAAGTCAGTTGTGCAATGCACACTACAATGGTGAGGAAATTCTTTTGCCAGGCAGGAGTCTAACATAGCCCTTCTCTGATGTGGGCATAGCACACCCAGAGAGCACCCAGAGGTGGGCAACAGACAGAATCTTGAGTCCTTACCTGCTGTTCACTAAAGGAATGACTTGCATTTTTTGGTGACATATTCAAGGTCATAAAAGCCCTTTTTTTCTTTAAGCTATGACTCTTCTCTTGGGCCTACAGATGTCCAAATGTAACTATCAAAAGACTACAGCTTGACCTTTATTTTCATTTTGCATCCTTTGCTACTGTACATTTTGGGAGTATTTCTTCTCACTTCTGTACAAGGTTATGTTGATCATTTAGGAAGCATTTTGTCAAGAGATACCCCCAACAGGTTGGTCCGTCCTGAAATTGCATGGTCTCAAACCCCTTCAAGACTGAGAACACCAAGATAAGAGGTTTATGGAACATTCAGCTATACCCAGCAGCTACTAGCCATTGTCCTCAGCCTGTGACCATGTGGATTCCAGGAAAGACAGAGCCTCCCATCCCTGAGACCACAACAGCTGCAGACAGTCCTTGCCTGGAAACTGAACCACCCCTCAGCCATGAGGACTTCAGGGCTACAACACCTGCTCTGAGATGATAACTGGATTCTAGCCCACAAGCTAATCCTTGAAAGGGGGGCTTCCACCCTCATGAGTGGGTCAGTCTGAATGCCCCTCCATCTACCTAAGCTAGAGTCTTTTCCTATCTTCCCTCTAACTTTCCAATTAAAGCTTTTTTCCTGTAAATCTGCACTTTAATTTTAATTTCCAATTCTACTAAAGCAGACTCATGCTAGCTGGTCATACTATTGATGACAAAAACACACAAGCCTGAACATTGTGTTTTTGTTAGTTAAGAATATCAGGCCTTGAGAGCATCAGGCTGAATTTGTCAAGGACCCAGAGGACGCTTGTTGTGTTAGCTGCCTGCACTCTCTTTATCAGAAAGATGGGAGTCTCAAATTCCTGGGTTCAAGTGATCTCCTAATTGGGACTAAAAGCACATGTCCTTGCACCAACAAGAGGCCTCTTTAAACTCTTATTTGCCACAGATAATTTCCCATTTTGTCAAATCCTCCACTATAATTTTGGTAAAAACAACTATATCTTTCTGTTTTGAATTTCTAGAACTTTCTTTTGTAGCAACTAAATGTTCAGGAACCATCAACTAGAAAGATTAGGAATGGAACCCACAGGGAAATCATAAAAGTGATGAGTAGCTAAATCAATAATAATCCATATTCTCAATGCTTCTAGATTAGTTTCCCACTCGATACATTTATTGCCCATAAGACCAAGTGGGAAACACATCTCTACTATACTTACAGCATATTACTGAAGCTATAGGAGCACAAACCTTGAACAAAGAGCCCCCTCTGCTATTTTTTTGCTTGTACCTTAGAAAATAGGCCAATATTCATAGAGTAACTTCATTTATTTGTGAATAATTTCTTCTGTACAAGTGATTCACTTACACATTTTTATACCTAACACTTTCTCATCAATAAAACAATGAATATTCAACCTTATCAGTCTTGGTTTCGTTTTTATTTTTCACCGTGATGATACTGATAATGTTTTGAAATGTTTCTCTAAATGTTTTCTCATCATTTATAAAAATCACTGTCAAGTACTAACTACTATTGAACTCGTTTAGAAGATTAACTGATTCCATAAACCTAAAAGGAAAGCCAAATGGAAATCCTCTGGTGTGCGTAAGACCACTATTCCAGTGTTATGAGAAGATGTGCCACAGTCCTCCAGCCGCAGGTAATCCAGTGCGGTTGCTCTCCTCCTTCCACTTCCCAGTTTCCAGTTCGACCTGCCTCACATGTCACAGCAACAATCACCATTCAAATACAGTGATGTTAGCAGCCAGACCCAAAGGACTATTTTGCCTTCTGCTCCTTGGGAATAAGCATGCCTAAGGCTAGTGAAAGCCATTAAAAGGCCAAACTGACTTCTCTTTTCATATGCAAAAGAAGATACGACAAAATGTAAATTATAGACAATTGCCCTGAGACGTGAAATAATTCTCTCCAGAAACCCAAAGAGGTTTTCCATCAACTTCTTCTTCTGCAACACTTTTATTTTCTATCTTTAATAAAATTGCTTCTAAAGCTGAAAATAGATTTACTAACAGCATGTCCTAGGGTGATCCATCTGCTAAGCCCCCAACTCCCCAACCTATGTTTGCCTGGAAAAGTCCCTCAGCCTGTGCTGTAGCAGAGGCCCCAGTTTTCTGAGACTGCAATAAATTGTCCCCTTTGGCTAAACTGCATACATCAAGAAAACAAACGACATGCAGTCATTACCAAAGTCAACGAGCTTAACTCCTCCTTCTGTTGTCAGAAGAATGTTATTCCCCTTCACATCACGGTGGATGATTCGGTTGTTGTGCAAATGTTGAAGGCCCTGTGTGGTGCCCACCACCACCGCACACCAGGAAAGAAAAAGAAAGGAGAAATTGACACGCTTATTTTAAAGTAATTACCCTACTACTAGAAAGTGCAATCCAAGTCTACATTCTGCTACATCTTCCTGCTATTAATTATGCCTGCATATTGCGAGGTAGTTCCCCATCATTAATACGCAATGAGGCTCCAAGCAGTTTACAAATTGCCCCCTCTGCTGTCATCAACCCAGCTCTAAGGACGTTCTTACCAAGAGGGCTCCATACAAGATGTAAGAGATCACTGCTTCGTCCAACCGCTGGCCACTCCTGAGCAGGCCTTTCACAAGGTCAGTGACAGAGCCCCCATTGCACAGCTGCAGGAGAAGGTGCCACCCAGCAGAGAGAGCAGCAGGGGTCAAAAGGAAAGAAAAAGAAAGGCCAAAGTTCATTGATTACACACTCCATATAGTACATTTGCAGACCATAAAACTCCAACTTGGAATAATTAGACTTCAAATTTCTATTAGCCAGCCAGTCCAACTCTTTGTATGTGTGTTCAGTCTGTATTTAAGGTGGTGATTTTTTTCCCCTTTTTTGTGGGGAGGGGGGTACTGGGGATTGAACTCAGGACTTTGCACTTGCCACACAGGTGCTTAAGCCACTGAGCTATCTCCCCAGCCCCAAGGTGGTGATTTATAAACAAAAGTATACACCCAAAACACTATTATTTAGTTATCTGAAAGAAAAAGCCCATCAGTAATCATGGTGACTTATTGAATCATCTTCATTTAATGTGACTATTATCTATATTTTTCAAATGTGCATTTTGAGCATAAGTAAGGACCAGAGAAAGCAAGATGGATGCCCTTCATATCTGACAGAGAATGAGTTTCAGTGATTTCAAACCTTCCTGCCTCCTGTATGTGCACTCTAGGCACCAGGCAATAGCTCTTCCTAGAGTTGCCAGTGTGCCTCAGGTTTATGGGGTCAGGGGTTCTATCATAGGCATATGGTGTGTCCTACTCAGGTTTAGACTTTGGTTCTTTCTCTCTCTCTCCCTCCTACCTCCTCCTAGAAATTTAAAACACTGTGTAAGTGATTATATTTTGCATCGTTGTTCTTCGCTGTATATTGTACATCACTGAAGCGTGAGTCCATAAAGCAGGTATACTATACTTTCTCAGCAATTTTGAGGGCTTTCAAGGATAATTTTTAGTAGCTCCAGGAGTCCCTGGTTTGAGTTTCCATAAGCCATCTTAAATTCAGATACTAAACTATTTGAGCAAGGTGTGGAAATGTGCTGAACTTGCAGGCAGCTTATTAGGGTGCATCTTGAGTTTTTCTGGGGAGACAATTCAGAGCATTCATCAGATTCTGAGAGCCATCCTTGACCTCATACAGGAATGAACACACACACACACACACACACACACACACACACACACACAGAGGTTACTCTTGGCACTTTTTCTGCAGTTTGGGAAAGCGTTAAGTAATGAATAGCAGGTAGTTCCTCCAGGTTTTCACTACTGGAGCCAAGGAGTTTTTCTTACTCCAGGGTAACTGAGAAGCACAGATTCACAGCCTTCCTAAAACAGACAACTCTTGAAAAAATCCATTCCTACTCCTCTGTCTTAAGTGCCTTCCTATTTTGTCTTCCAGAAGGTTTGATGTTTCTGTTTTATTTATTTTAATGTATTTTAGTACAGGGTCTATAGGGGCTCACTACACAGATTGGACTCGTGATCCTCCTGTTTTCTGCTTCCCAAGCCCTGGGATTACAGGTGAAGCCACCATGCCCAGTCTCAATCACAACCTCAGCACACCCCGGGGGCAGGGCCTGCACAGCACACCAGGGATGGAATCCTGATGACTGTTCTCTGCCTAAACAGGTGTTTTAGTCCACTGAGCAATTTGGCCAGCCCGATGTTTCCATTTTGATGCTTAGATCTTTGATCTGTTTTGCTTTTAATTTAGTATCTGATCAGAATTAAAGTCAGTCTCAGTCTTCTACAAATAGATAACCTGTTTTCCCAACACCACTTGTTGAATAGGCTACTTTTCCTCCAACATATGCTTTTAGACCTTCTGTCAAAGACCAGACAGTTGAACGTGTCTGGGAAGGTTTCTGTACCCTCAATTCTGTTCCACTGATATGCATCTGCGCTTACTGCAGCATCGTGCCATTTGCATCACCACTGCTTTGTGGTATAGCTTGAAGTCTGGTATTACTATGCTCACTGCTTTGCTCTTATTGCCCAAAATTACTTTTGCTATCCGGGGTCTCTTCTGGCTCCATAGCAATTTTAGGATTGTTGTCTCTAGATCTGTAAAGTATGCTGTTGGTATCTTGAACGGGACTGCACTGAATCTTTGTCACAGTTTTGGAAGTGTGGCTATTGTGAAACTATTAGCTCTGCCTATCCTGGAGCAGGGAACACTTTTCTGTTTCTGATATCCTCTTCAATATCTTTGTTCAGAGTACTGTAATTTTCTGTGTAGAGGCCTTTCACTTCTTTGACTACGTTAATTCATAAGTATTTCACTTTTCTCAAAGCTACTGTGAATGGCATTGTTCTCATCATTTCCTTTTCATCCCATTCATAGCTGGTGTACACAAATGCTAAAAAAAAATTGTGTTGATCTTGCATCCTGCTACTTTGCTGAAGTTGGTAATTAATGCTAAGAGTTCTTTGGTGGAGTTCTTTGGATCTTCAATGCAGAGTATTATGTCAGCTGCAAATACTTATAATTTGGGTGCTTCCTTTATTTTTTTATTTTATTTTATGTATCTAATGCAGGGTCTCACTATGCAGCTCAGACTCATAGTGATCCTCATGTCTCAGCCTCCCCAGTGCTGGGATTACAGGCATGTGCCACCATGCCCAGTTTCAGCGGCTGGCTTGGCGTACCCAGGGTGGGGCTGGCACAGCATGTGGTGCCAGAAATCGAACCCAGGTCCCTGGAAGACACTTAAACCACCAAGATATCTCCCCAGTCTGAATGGTACCTTCCTTATACATATGCTTTTTATTTCTTTCTCTTGCCTAATTGCTTTAGCTAATGTTTTGAGTACTATGTTAAATAGCAGAGGTGACAGAGGATATCATTGTCTTGTTCCTGATTTTAGGGGAAATGTTCTTAGTTTTTCCCCATTTAGTATATTGTTGGTCAGGGCCGGGGGGGATGGTTCAGTGGAATAAGCACTTCCCTGGCAAGCGCAAGGGCCTGAGTTCAATCCCCGGTTCCACAAAAAACTTAGTATATTGCTGGCTCTTGGATTGTCATAGATCACCTTTATCATATTCAAGTATGGTGCTTCTATACTTGTTTTCTTCAAGGCTTTTATTGTGAAGAAGTATGGGATTTTGTCAAGAGCATTTTCTGCATCTTTTGATATGTTCATGTGGTCTTTCACTTTGCTCCTCTTTATGTGATACATTTATAGACTTCCATATGCTGAAACTTCCTTACACCTCTGGGATGAAACTTACTTGATCATGGTGTATCAGTTTTTTGGTAGTGTGCTGCCTTCTATTTCCTAAGAGCTTGTTGAGGATTTTTGCATCTATGTTCATTAAAGATATTGGCTGGGCTTGGGGAGATAGCTCAGTAGAACGAGTGCTTGCCTGGGAAGTACAGGGTCCTGAGTTCAATCCCCGGTACCACAAAAAAAAAAAAAAAAAAGATAATGGCCCATAGTTCTCTTTTTCACTTGGAGCTTTATCCAGTTTTACACAGGAAATAGCAGCAAGAATCAATACATGGGATTATATCAGACTAAAAAGCTGATGTACAACAAAGGATTCATTAGCAGAGAGAAGAGACAACCTACAGAATGAGGAGGAAATTGCCAGCTACTCAAAATTGAAGACTCAGTCAAGACATGGGTTAGAGAAACAAACAGATACTTCACAGAGAAAGAAATACAAATAATCAACAAAAGTATGAAAAATGTTCAACATTTATGGCTATTTAATGTAAATTAAAACAATACAAATATTCTACCTTACTCCAGAAAGAATGCCAGTCATTATAAAATCAAACAATAACAAGTACTGATTGGTGAAAAAGGAAGGCTCCTGCATTGTTAGTGGGAATGCAAACTAGTCCAACCATTGTAGAAATCAGTATGGAGATGGCTCGAGGAACTGAAATGAGACATTCCATGTGACCCAGCTCTCCTCCTGCTAGATGTCTTCTTGAAAGAGCTTAAGTCATCACACTACACTGATACTCACATACTCATGTTTATAGCAGCATGTTCCTAATAGCTAAATCCTGGAAGCTGCCTGTGTAGCCACCAACAGATGACTGGATCAACACAGTGTGGTATTTATATATAATGGAATACTACTCAGCCAAAAAGAGTGACAAATTTGAGGCATTTGTAGGAAAATGGATGCAACTGGAAAATACAATGTTGTGTGAAATAAATGGGATACACAAGCTTAAATACCATACGATATCTATCATTTGAGTCAGGCATAGTACAAACAAAAAATATGATAAAGGATGGATAGAAAGGGCCAGGGGACAGGTCTCATCCAGTAGTAAAATGGTCTGAGAGATAAAGGAGAAAAGCAAGAGGAAGGGGAATAAAAGAAATAAAGGTATGCCATGTACAGGAACCTTGTAAGCTTAATCAATGCAAACTATATAAGGCATACACATGCCAAGACAAACACTATCAACAGATATGAAAAAAATGATTGGGGAACCAGAAGAGAGGGGATTGGGGGAGGGAAGGTGAAGGAGAAAAAAAAACTGTAATATCAACATGTAACCATTTCCCAAGATGATTGTAAGATGAATGATTTACAAATATGAAAATACATTTCTAAAAGATTAAAACAGATAATACTTCACCAAAAAAAATAATACTTTAGGTGATGCTAACATTTTACTCTAACATTTTAATAAAGGATGAATAGATCGTTTTATTTGATGTGGGTACTATGACTTTATATAGGTTAACAATCAGGATACCCTGCAATTGAATTTACCGATGTTCTATCATTTCAATTGCTCATAAGTAATGGTATCTAACAGAGAATTAGAGAATTTTAAAAATTAGCATAACATTGCTGTAGCTCGGGAATAATTTAGGAAGGACCCAAAAAGTAGTGAAATACATTGAAAACTATGAATATCCCATGAGTCTGGGACTATATTAAGTGACATTAGACGCTACTGTCTGGTGACTCAACACTAATGGCTCTAAAGTCCCTTGTGTGGAGTGGTGATGTCATGTCTACTATATTTCAGATGCTAAGTATTCCACAAAGGCCCACATGGTAAAGGGTAGGCCACACAGTGGCACTTTTAGGAGAAGAGGCCTTGTGGCAGGTCTTCAGATCACTAGGCGTGTCCT